ATGGCATTTAGCGACCACCAAAATCGTCACTATTTACCTTAGTGACCAAATTTAAGTAGTTGCGAAAATCTTGGTCGTAAAGCTATATAGCGACGGAAATATCATAGGTCACTGTTTAGCGACCGAAAATTTCAGTTGCAAAATGGTTGCAATGATTTTAGTTGTTGTTGTATATGCGGACCAAATTGGTCGCCGAATAAGACGTTTCTAAGTAAATTTTTATTTTTAAATAAAGTAAAAATGATTTTTAGTTTAGTCTCTAAATCAGTCGCTAATTATTTATTTTTAACTTTATTAAATTTTATAGACGTCGCAAATTCGGTCGTTGTTCGTATCACTACGAACCACTCATATTTGGCCTCTCAAGGATTCTATTTCACGATACTTCACTCATCCCTATATTACTCCAAATCAAGCGTGCTTAACTGTGGAGTTCTGATGAGATAAGCTACCGAAAAGCAGATGCATGTTGTTAGTATAGGTAGTACAAATTAATTCATTTAAGTCATTCTCAATTATACAATCTCATACTTATACTATCTTTGGATCTTTCTCATTTCGATATGTCTGAATTGTTACAAATATATAATAATATATATAATAATTATATTACTAATAATAATAATTATATTAAATTTAATTAATCTTTATTTATATATATACTTACTTTTATAATATGTTTTTTTCTATTTAAAATTAATATTATGATACAATTTAATTTATTTATTATAAATTTAAAAGTTTAAATAAAAATTTATATATTTTAAAATGAGAAAGGTTATAATAACATTGGTGTAACTTTTACTAAGAATTACACCGCTTAATAACTTTATATTAAATGTGAATTTTGTAAATCCAACCGTTAGATTGAAAGTTTAGATAACTTTATATGTTTATATCAAATTTTGTTAAAATTGAACAAAAACCTAAAGGTAATCAAAGTGTTCATATTTTAGTATATTTTGAAATGTATATATTATGTCAATTTTGTTTTACTAGAATGAAGTATCAAATCATCTTGAATTAATATAAAATTTTGTATATATGATCTAAGAGTAAAAAGCTTTCAATCTAAAGGTTGAATTTATAAAATTCACATTTAATATAAATTTATTGAGCGGTGTTATACTTAGTAAAAGTTACACCGGTGTTATTAATTATAACCCTTCTCTCACTAGTGCAAAATATAGAATTTACGTCAGGGTTTTCTCATCATACATAAAAATATCCAACGTAAAAAAGACGCAGTGGCAATTTGAAAATAAATCAAACTTTTTTACGTCGGACAATATAGGGGTCTGACGTAAAATTGTAAATCTACGTCGGACAGTAGCCACATCCGACGTAGATTTCAAATTTTACGTCAAACTTCTATGTAGTCCGACGTAAAAAAGCTTTTTATTTCCTTTGAGCGCCTTCGTCTACTTTGCGCGCGAGGTTATTACATTTGAGGAAGCTTTTTTTGTTGGTGCGATTTCCGGTGAAGGGTTCCTCGAGTACGTGTGGACATTTTTAGTCATGGCGATTTCTGGCGAAGGGCTTCTCGACATTCGTGGGTGATTCTAGATCTTTCTGTTCGAATGGATTGGGCGTTTTCTGGGTTTCAGACGATTTGAGGTTAGTATAAATGTGAATGAGTTTTAGATTTGACTTCTGAGTTTAGGATCCATGTTTTTTGACGAATACACGTCAAGAATAGAGGAGGTGGAGGTGGGGGTGGAGATTTTCTTGTTGGCAACAATTTTATGTCAGTCCTTGGCAATGTTCGATGTAAATTTACGTCAGTTAACTCAATCGACGTAAATTTACGTCTCCGACATTGACATCGAACTATTTTACGACGTAAAAACCCTGAAATAACAATCGTAAAATACATCTTTTGTAGTAGTGTCTTTTAAAATATTATTTTTATAAATTAAATTTTAACATTTTTAATAAATTATTAATTAAATTAATATATTTATTCATCTTAAATCTAAGATATAAAATTCAAAAAATATTTTTTTCTTGTTTTATTTTCTAATTATCAACCATTAATAAAATACTAATTTAAAATTTTATCTAGTTATATTATAATATTTTCATATCAAATTTAAAACCAAATATTAGTTATACAAAAATATCAAGATAATATAGTAAATTATCAATAAGATTCTAGTTAAATAATTTAAAATAATTAATTTTTGAACTATATTTTTTGCAAATAATTTATTCCAAAGCTAATCAATTTTTTCTATATTAATTATTAGTAAAATTTAATAAATTTTAATTTAATAATTGGATTGATGAAATTCGACATACATCGCGAGTTATTGAGCGAAGTAACTTTACTAAGAGTTACTTTGTGAGTCATTTGATTCCTCCTCCTCC